GGGCTTCTCTGACGCCATATCTGCATGACTCATTACTGTAATGTGGAGTGGATTCCCAACACCGGCGGCACGGCATTTCTGCTGATTAAAACTGCATGCAGCGTAATAGAATAAGAAGGGGGGGGGAGGCATGGTGGAGCAATGTATTCACTGATAATGGAGGGGAAGGAATTAGCAGGAGTGGCAGCGAGAGGGAATGTCTGTGTGTATTTCTGGACACTGAGTTGATGGAGTGTGTGTGATTGTGTGTGTCCTTGGAAAACATCCCTCTGGTTGTGTGTGTACATGTTTTCGAGAAGACGCCTCACCTTGAGCACCTGCTGGATGTGATCCTGATGTTCTGCATCAACAATGCGGTCCACGTACCACTTCAGCACTTTGATCAGGTCCCTGGAGGAAACACACACACACACACACACACACACACACACACACACACACACACACACACACACACACACACACACACACACACACACACACACACACACACACACACACACACACACACACACACACACACAGTCAAACACTCGCTAGCTACTGTATATCACACATACATTTTCTCACTGGAGTCAGCAACTGCATTCATTCTGGAGTTAGTGGCAATTGAAACTTGAATTTTTTTTAACAATCTTTGATAATAGTTATTAGAAAGAATCACTAGAACTGATTGACCTGAACAATAAGTTGAAATGTAATGATTATAGACAAATGTGACAGAAAAATAACCGCAAGTCAAGAGGCAATGCAGTGTTTTGAAAATAGTCCTTAATCCCAGAAAGTTTTCATCAATATCAGAGAAAATTCCAACCATTTGCCTGTTTTTTTTACATGAATACAGCTGATTCAAATGACACAGCTAATACATGTTATCTTAAAATGAGAGACAGGAGCAATACAAATCTGTTGCTGCTTAAGTAAAACTCTTTAAATCTGGGGAGATGTTTCAAAAGGGTGGCTTCAATTTGAAAAATATGTCAGATTACTGAATAAGAGGATTTCCAGGACTGAATGGTTCCGTATTAATAACTTCAGATAGTCATAATAACTGCTGTGTTATTAAATTAAGGTCCGACACTTGGAATCAAAGAATATTGCTTATTAGTGAGAACAGCAGGTTGTGAATATATGGGAGGAGAAATGAGGAGGAATATATTTCCCCCTTTCATCAGCCAGGGGGCAGCATAAGCATTTCATTCACACTCGTGTTGACTACATCTCAGCTCTGACGCAGGCTGCCCATGTGACACAGCGAGTCATTAGAATACAATGCATCAGAGAGGCAGCATTGATGGACTCGCAGACACATCCTGGGAGGAAGATACGTCACATACCTGTAGGACAGAGCTCCAGCAAAGTGGCTCTCGATGTACGTGTCCATGACGGGTTTGAAGTGCTGGAATTTACTGTCCTGGAGGAGGTTTATGATATGCACCTGGAAAGAAAAATAAGAGATATTGTAAAGAGAAATAGTCTTTGACATAGCATATTATTTTTTGTTCAAGTATTACACTCATAAAGATGCTTTAATAGCTTCGTGAAGTGAAGTGTTTATCATGCCATCAAATAGAAATATTGTATGTGATTAGTTAAAAGATAAATCTAAGTTAGAAAACCATCATTTGAAGTGATGTTTTTTTGTTAGAAACGTGCTACAGGCAGCTAAAAAAAATTGTTTTCAGGCTCATATTTGTATTTTGTGCCTCTACTGTGACATGTCTCCATGCTTTAATGTTCAAAAAGGTCTTTATTTTCTCCTACTGCCTGTGCTGCAGCACTTCTTTTCGCCCTCCGTCTGAAATCAGAGAACACTCTGCTCTGATTGGTTAGCTGGCGGGTAGCCAATAGAAAAGGGTCTATAGAAGGAGTGTGTGGGAGAACAATTCTGATGTGCAGAGTCAACTGTAACACCTCAACGCTTGTGTTTCATTTTTGAAAACTTTAACACGTAAAAAAAGATTAAGCCCATTTCTAAGTTGGACCCTAACTTCCTCACGTAATTCCAGCACGATGTTGGACAGGACACAATGTGAGATTTGAAAGAAAGAATACAAATTGAACTGACAAAACATCCGAGCTGAAAACATTTCGACAGTGGCTTGAATTGGTCCACCACAGAAGATAACTCCACATGTCCGTCTCGTTGGATTGATCTCCAAATCACAAACTGACTAGACCTTTTTATCAGTGATAACGCCACGCTGAGAGTGTGTTCATGTGTGTCAGTGTGAGACTGATGCAGAGAGAGAATGGATCGATCACAGGCCTCACTCTATCGGCGCAGTGCAGCGTGACCGCGGGGAGATTGGTTTCTCTGTGGCGTTACATCACCAGATCATTCTCTGAAACACTATGAGAGCAAGTATGACAATTTATGGGAATTAGTGAATGACTTACCAGGGAATCGAACACCTTGAGTCCATATCTCTGAGAGCTTTCATCCAGAATCCCAAAAAGGGTATCCAGGGTGTCCTGTAGAAACTGAAAAAAAGGGAGAGTGAGCTTTAAATGAACTTCAGTTTTCAAACATCTTCTCAACCTGACCTTCAAAAATGAACTGAAATCAAATCAGAAACAGTCAATACTACAAATGCCAGGATAGCGCGAGCAAATCAGTCCCAGAGAATCGTTTTTTCCGTGCGCCTACTTTGACAATCTCCGAGCCATCGATCTCCTTCAGCTTGGAGAGGCTGTCGTTGATCCTCTCGGGGTGCGCTCGCCACTTCAACAGGTCCAGCATGTCTCCTGGAGAAAAGACGGGAATGTAGAGAGCCATAACAGGAAATTAAGGAGATCCAGAAATGCAGGATTATGTGGATCACAAAGCATCACCCCACCCTTCAATTATCGCCCCAAAACTCCACAGAATCCAAACAAATGATGACATTTTCGAGTGCGGATGGATAAAAAGTCATTTTCCTGAGCCGAGGTCCCCAGACACACGTATGAATAAAACATAAGTCTGGAGAAGAAAGTGTTTTTGCTGTCTCTTTGGATTTGGTTCAACCTGAAGTGTGTCATTTTTTTCCACCAGTGAATGTGTGTGTGCATGTGTTTGAGGGCATGACAAATGTTTTCACAGATCTGTCAAGTACATTTTGAAATCAAAAACTCTAAAATACTTGTTAATGCATTCAGCAACACAATCAAACGTATACAGGAAATGAACAGCCTGTTGCAAGTGAACTGTGCCTGTAGCTGTTCTGTTTGTACACTCTACTGTCTGCTTAATGAGGTTAAACATGATTTATGTGTCACTGTTTTTCAACTCTGGTACAACAGTGATTGTGTCTTTGGAATTGGAAATTGAAATACAAGACATTTCACCGTTTTTTGTGCCTTTTGTCAAGTGTTGAAGTCACAGTCTTTGGCAAGAACAGTTCTATGTATAGCCTAGCACTAAAGCATGGTACTTACTAGTCTATTAATATTGGTTTACAGCATGGATTGGTAAGCCAACACTGTGTTATAAAACACCTTGCCAATACATAGAAACAGCCATGAAGGTAATACGATATATCTATCTAACTCTTTCCAGCTATCTATATGTTCTATTTCTATCTATAGACATCTGTATCTTTCTATTCATATCTTTCCACCTATCCATATCTATATGTACATCTATCTTTATATATTTCTAGATCTATATGTACATCCATCCTTATCGGTGTATATCTACATGAGTGTTCATCTATATCTTTATATCTACACGTACATCCATCTAAATATCTATATTTACATGTTCATCTATTTATATGTATCGCTATCTCTATGTACATCTATCTATATATATCTACAGTATATCTATGTACATCTATCTATATATATCTACAGTATATCTATGTACATCCATCTATCTGTATTTATATCTACATGTACAACAATCTACAGTATCTACATCATGTGTAGACCAATCTATATCTATCTACAGTATGCACATCCATCTATATCAGNTGTGTGTGCGTGTGCGTGCGTGTGCGAGTGTGTGTGTGTGTGTGTGTGTGTGTGTGTGTGTGTGTGTGTGTGTGTGTGTGTGTGTGTGTGTGTGTGTGCGTGCGTGTGTGTGTGTGTGTGTGTGTGTGTGTGTGTGCGTGTGCGTGTGCGTGTGCGTGCGCGTGTGCGTGCGTGTGTGTGTGTGTGTGTGTGTGTGTGTGTGTGTGTGTGTGTGTGTGTGTGTGTGTGTTTACATGCCAAGATGCTAACAAGGGGATGACGGATGTGGCATGTGAGTGTGGTCCTGGCACACCCCCTCCTCGTGTTTGTCTGTTTGTTTAACCACACACAGGTCAGAGTAGTGATCTGCACCCACCAGTCTGTCTCCTCCTTCACTTTAGTTAACCTTTGTTGTTCCTTCATTGATTTTTCTTGACAAACTAGTTCTTTTTCATCCCTGCATTCATTGTTTGGAAGGCAGGGGATTTGTCAGTTTTCTCTTTCCTTTATCTTACCAAGTCTTTTTCACATAGAAATGACTTTGAAGGAAGGAGATATGAGTAAACATATGATTTCTGCCAAAATGTCTGCTCTGGCTTTACGATATCTGCTCTTTGCAGCTAAAGCATGATTATATTATATGTTATCATCACACAGCTGATTTGCTTTTTGAATTGTCCCTCAACTTTCTTTTTACTAATGCTATGGAGTTAATTCTTAATCATTGGTTTTATGCTGTCTTTGTTTTTCTTAATAATGCAGATTAACTGGTCGGGTAGAAATAATTAGAACACTTTTTTTTTATTGTGTGCTTTTTCTACGTACTGATTTAATCTAGAATACATATACGCCAACACCTTTTGTAAAGATCAATATTCAGCGGTCTTCAAATACCACTTTATAAAACACCTCTTCATACCAAGCTTGAATGCACTGTTGTTGCTATATCCAGGTCTATATTTGGCTCCAGCCACAATGCGTCACCCTACAGTAGACCGCAGCAAGACTGTGTGGAAATGTGACAAGTCGGCCCTGCAGGAAAAGGACGAGCCAGCGAAGAGATTTGGAACAAAGCAGAAACACAGAAACCATGCAGATGAAAGGAAATGGAAAGTGAAAACCAACAAGACAGAGAGAATCGTCGCGCATGCAGAACGGAGCTGTACATTCAGGAATCCAATTTATTTCCCGCTTTTGTTTCTTTTGTTCTCCCCCCCCTTGACCTTGTTCATCTTTTATTGCTCTTCAAAACGGGAATGTCATTTTTCCTTTTCATGCCGTCAGCACCCTTCAGCACTGCTCTTATAGTGAAGTGCTATCATCTCATTATCTTATTATAGGAGCGATGGAGGGCCGTTTATGCAGTCTGTGACATTAACAGAGAGCAGCTGTGATGGAGCTCTGATACGTTTCAGCGCAACAGATACAGCGAGCCCTAAACCCAGAAATGAATTAGGTGTTTAACACAGGGTTCATACACTTTTTCACCAATGACTTTCAATGACTTTTCCATGACTTCTCCATGACCTTTACCTACTTTTCCATGACCAAAATAAATACTCTTTCTCAGCGTACCACTGAAAATGGTTTATTTTAACATGGATCAGGAAAATAAGGTCTGCATATGAAACATGTTGTGCCTATCTAAAACAAATCAAATAGTAGGCTCACTAGCTTCTACACGCAAAAGCAACTAAAATCTCTCACCAGGAAAATACCTCGTCAGTTAAATGCCATTTCAAGTTTCATTACTATACGATACATGTATTATTATTATAGTATTACTATTTCGGCGATTAGCTAAAATATAAATTATATTTGATGCAACTTTAGTTACATTTCCATGACTTTTCCAAAACTTTGGGAAAAATATTGTTTTCCATAACTTTTCCAGGGCCTGGAATTAGCATTTTGAATTTCCATGACTTTTCCAGGTTTTCAATGACCGTAGGAACCCTGTTAACACTCTCTGTGTTCTAGTCTTGGAGTCAAGTCTTGAAGTGTTTTGGTCGGATGACTGATATAAGATTTGTGGTTAATATATTTGCTCTCAAGTTTTGTAAGCCTACAATTCATAAAATACAACGGTAAATACTCAACTGGTGAATGTTCGAAGCTTCGATGTGTCATAAAAAGAGCGGCTAAATGAGACGACTAAACGTCATGACGCCAAACATTAGCCGCCTTTATCTTAGCGGTAGTGAAGTGAGGTCATGTGACTGAAATGTAGTTAGCTTATAGCCTAACATTTTTCTAGCAAATGCCTTTATGCTTACATTTCTTTAAGTGGTGTTAATATTTAAAGATGATCCTGCTTGTATTTTTCTATTTGTCTGCAATCCTCCGAAATCCAATGGAAAATTCCCATTAGCTTTTGTTGAGGGAGCCATTGTGATGCTAACTTCAGGGTCCGCCTTCAGCAAGATGCAGGGGTCAGAGTGAAACTGATTACATGACATTATATCCAAGATGACTTAATATGTACATTCAGTACTGTGGGCAATCCCCACAGGAGCACTTTGGGGTGAAGTGTCTTTCCCAAGGACACACCGACATGCTGACTGCAGTGGGATTCGAACTTGCTCTCCCCTGACTCAGGAGGGAAACTGCTTATAGTGTTGAAACGTTGAAGAAAGAGTTTGAACGTTCAGCTAACACGAATATGTTTCTGTTGGTGCACATATTTCGCCCCTTACCAAAGAGGGTTTGATCTGACTGAGGGCAGTTTTTAACCATCAGAAAATATCTTACATAAATCACATCTTAGATACATTCGAAAAACCACTTGCATGGTCCAATATGGTTCAGGGACTCTTTTTTAATATATGCTAAAAAATAAGTAAACTCTTAAATTCTCAATAGTTGTTCAGTTATTTATGGGAATGTCAGAGAAAGAGTTGTGGGAGTGATAAGAGAGAGAAGATGGGGGTGACTGGGACCATCAGGAGAACAAAGGCAGCTCTTATGCGCTGACAGCCGGGTAATGGGTGATGCTGGTGTTGACCTTGTCAGAAGGAGACCCTGGGGACCAGAAGGAGGAGGAGCTGAACCCACCTCTTGTTTAAATGTCATTTACACTCATAAATCTTCACAATCTCTTCCATCTGTTAACACCTGCTGATATGTTTCAACATTTTTCTACTTGACCATCTGCAAAATACATACTTTGTGGCACACAGAGCTCTACTTTTTGAATCAATAATGCAGAAGTGTGGAAGGAGCTGACCAATCAAATCACCTCTTCTCCTTCAAGCTCTGCAACACGACACGCTGACAATTTAGTGAAGACAAAAGCCGCCAAGAAGAACTAACCCACTTGTGCAGGAGCATAAAGCACATGAAATTACACAGCACATTTAGGAAACATGCTTCTCACATTGTAAAGCAAAAACATATATTATACTGCATGACAATCTGAGAGAATCAGAGGCAGATTGCAGAGTGAATTTGGATACAACCGGGAGCCAGTTTCCTGAAATATCTCGGGAGCTGCAGCTGCCTCCACAATCTCCACTGAGTGCGTCACACTCTGTGTTTGATGTCAATCATTTACACTACGATTGCAGCTCAGTTGCTCGGCCTGTGGTGATTTTGAACCGCGTAATCTCACAACTTCACACAGAACACTGAACTTCCTCAGGTCCTCACCAACACAACGGACAAGTGTGGAGTCCATTGAATGAACAGTTAGCAAGTAATCTGAAGGACAGACATAGGCAGTGGTGGTTGTAGAGGAATTTTACACTTGTTTTTGAGATGGGCACATGTGGGACTTTCGATACTGTCATGATTTTAAAATGTTTTGTTCAGTATACAGTCATAGCCCTAAAAAATGTTTTACCAGGATTGGAGTTTGTTTTAGTAACAGAGCTTGCCGATTACTTGTTATTAAATTACATCATTGAAAAAATAAGAAAAAAAATGCATTTTTCTTTTCGACCCACGTTACAGCAGTCTTTGCTGAAACACATACAGTAAATTGTATTATGATACGTTTTTGTTTTGGAGGGGGGCTATAGTGGGGTCCAAGCTGTCGATTGAATGAACGGTTAGAAAGGAAATTGAAGGACAGACATAGACAGTGGCGATTCTAGGAATTTTACCAAAGGGGTCTGTGTTGGGACCACTTGTTTTTTGAGAGGGGCACACATGATAGTGTTTGGCTATAGGGGGGTCCAAGCTGAGTGTTACAGGGGCAATTGCCCCTAGCGTAGCATTGTTTACACTATGAAAAGGTATGTTTATGGCACTTTTAACTTGATCAAATCACAGGAAGCCTTCAATGAATATTACCAATTATTGATAAAAAAGCTCATAAAAACCTCTTATATTGGTCTACTCCAGTGCTTCTCAAAGTGTGTATCGCGGACCACTGGTGGTCCGTGAGTACCCCCTAGTGGTCCGTGAGTATATTGGTAACATTTGAAATTAATTAATTAATTTGAGTTTTCCGCACTCTCGCGGGAATATCTCCGCAATGGAGCGAGCTTAAGTTTCACTTTCGGTTGCATGATATAGCCCAGCGCAACACCTTCATCACACATGTTGTCACTTGTTTGTACCATTTTCAGGCGATTTGTAATCTGTTCTAGAAAAACGATGTGTTTTTTGATATTTGTGGAGTTAGGTGGTCCGCGAGTGTTTTTTTATTGGTTAAGTGGTCCTTGGTATGAAAAAGTTTGAGAAACACTGATCTATATCTCCATCCGTTCATTCATCAAAAGTCAAATAAAAAATGGGGCTAGAGTTTGAGCTTCAAAATGTCAATCCCTGCTAGTAGTTTACCGTTCTGTGTGAGCTTGGTGGAGCAGAGGAAGCTGGTGATCCAGAAGGACTCCTTGGTGCCTTTCAGCGTCTGGTTGTTGGACGGCAGGTTGGCCTTGGAGAACGGCTGCTTCAGGTACCGAGAGCACTCTGCCAGGCTGGTGTTCTCCTCACACTGGGAACAAGGAGGGAACAAGGGAAAACACTCATTTGTTACCTGGTACTGAAGATTAGGAAGTATTTTATGCTACGAAAATATCATAGACTTCTATCAGAGGCGTAGGTTGTAAGGCAATAATAATAGAGAGAGATTAAGCTATTGCACCTAATTAATCACACATGTTGGGGATGTAATGCTGCCTCTATGGCTGCTGCTGAGGCCTCTTTGAGCTACCACACAGTTTGGACTGATTCTACTGTGGGTCTATTTTGGGTCTGAGGAGAAACTAGGCCATGCCAGTTTCATTGAGCTTTTCAGAAACTTCCATCTGGCATGAAAACGGAAACCTTTTCCCCCCTCTCAACGATGGGAACACACAGGGTTGTCCTCTAAAACTGGCAGGTTAGGGGGGTTCGGTAGGACTAAATCTGGACACTCGAGAGGGAAAATACAAATGAAAGGAGTTGTTTTTTGTATATATGATGTTCAAAATACTTCACCAGGAAGAAAGATAATGATGCTTTTGGTCACTGTTCTGCCTCGTTGCCAATAAAATGTACAGTATGCATGCTTTCCTGTGCTCTGCAGAGCCTGAGGTTTAAGCACACACCCTTCGCCTGCAGCTGAGGAAATCCATGGAGTCTGCAATTATTCTGAATTACACCCAGGACGGTCTCGCAGTACAGCAGCTCTTAACTGGGGATGCTGGACATTTTATTTGCTTTGATGTTGCAAAACCAAATGGTGTGAAAACAGTGTGTGAGTGTCTGCACAAAAGGTCTGCAGGAAACACACATGCTAAATAGAAATAAAGAGATTGTTCCTCAAATGAAATGAGTATGCATGATGTGTATTTTGTACATTTGTATTATTTTTTTATATTTAATTATTTTTTTATGCATGCTTCTAATTTTAAGCTGTCTTTGGCTCTTTTCTGCTGTAACAATGTAAATGTCCCCTCTGTGGGACGAATAAAGGTATTCTGATTCTGATCCACATGTCTCTTTTACATGCACAGGCAAACACACATACATTTACACACAGCTTGAACATGTTACGTGAGTAGACATGATAACACAATGGCAACATTTTGCAATTCAGAGTAAATTATTTCGTATAATCATACTGTACACACGAGTGTCCGAAGTAGGCCTGTGTGATGCAAAACAGTGAGTGGGTTACCAAGCTGCAATTTACCAACAAACTGAATGACCTTTTTTTGCCTTTCGTCCACTGTGAACAAATATTTAGTTTTATAATTGCAACTACAGTATATCTTTACGCTTTTGTGGTAGCCTAAGCTAAGAGGAATGTGAGGCCCTTATTAAAGTGCTCCATCAATATGTAATAAAGGACCAAAAGGTGGCTCTACTTGGAGTAATACCAGAAGGCATTGATGGAAGAGCAAGGAAATTACTTTTACTAATATTACCAACACCAGCAATTAAATGGGTCACAATAATAAAGCCTGACCCAATCTATCAGATTTAAAATAAGACATATTTGCAGGGACTTCAAGAAGATGTATATATTAAAAAGGTCCTGCTATTGCTGTTCCAGTATAGTGAAGCGATCCAATTTCCCCAGGCAGTCATACTAGTATCTCCAACACTCTTCCCCCATTTTTATTTATTAACCGATATATATTTATAGTATTATAATAATTTTAAAAGATGTATTTTATTTATATTAATATATATGTTTATTTTTTTCCTGTCCTTAAAACATGTGTATAGACTATGTGACTTGAGCTAAAGGAAAAAGGAAACAAAATAGGCAAAAGTGTGAAAATGTTTGTATAAATTGCTGAAACTGAAGTAAAACTCAGTTGAAAATGTTTCTATTTTAAATATCAAGGCCTTAAAATGGACAGAATGGCACATGGATTAAGGCCAATACTATCCATATCACTCACTTTCTATATGGGAATATATACTGTACCAATTTGACAAGAAGAGACAAAAGGGGCAATTCAATTATCCCATCCCATTGCTTAAAAAAAGAGTCATATTTACATCCAGGTGATTTTTTCTGCAACCAAGCAGAGTCTGTACATGCCAACAACAAATACCCTGTAAAGCACAAAGTCAATCTGAAGCCATGTTTGCGATTCAAAGTGTTTGAGGAGAGGGTCTGAAGGTTTACCTTGTGGATAATGAGCTCATGGTTGCCATCTGGCAGCGTCCTGCCGTCCTCCTGCATCAGCGGAACAAAGGAGTATCCAAACAGTTTCTTCTCTCCCTTGTCTTTAGCTGTCACACAACAACACATGGACACGGCAATGAGTCCAAAATACACCAGACTGCGTGAAATGAACAAGACTATTGTTGCGATGCTGGTTCTTTTCAATGTTATGCAATACGTTTAAAAAGATAAACTGATGCTCAGCTTTCAGTTTATTATCCAATGGTTTAAAATCAGTCCATTGATTGCTTATACATGGAGCAAAACACAAGCATAAGGAAATACAGCTTGCAAAACAACAAGTGCAAGCAATACAGGTTAGAAAATCATTGCAAATGCTTATCAAGGAAGCAAAAATAAGATATTTTAAAGTTACTCTTCGAGGGCCTGATTAATGCGGGCTGCTGTTTTTTTTTTAAGCAGCTTTCCGGACGCTCTGGGTATAATTTGCATCATGAACATATGTAATCCGATTTAAGTGCTGCTTTAGCAATAATATGATAATCTGCGCACAGCGGGAAGTGAAAAGTGAAGCGCCAGGAAGTTTTCTATTTCCTTTCATTGCAACACACCACTTTAAGCAGCATCTAAAAAGGCCTGGGTTAGTGTGTGTGTGTGTGTGTGTGTGTGTGTGTGTGTGTGTGTGTGTGTGTGTGTGTGTGTGTGTGTGTGTGTGTGTGTGTGTGTGTGTGTCGTCGTCGTACGTCGTACGTACGTACGTACGTACGTACGTACGTACGTACGTACGTACGTACGTACGTACGTACGTAACGACGTACGTAACGTACGTACGTACGTAGTACGTACGTACGTACGTACGTAACGTACGTACGTACGTACGTACTACGTACGTACGGTACGTACGTACGTACGTACGTACTACGTACGTACACGTACACACTACTACACACACACACACACACACACACACACACACACACACACACA